GCGGCGGCCTCACCTTGCTGGGGAGGGTCGGGGCGGAGGGAGCGCGTCTGCGCCTCGCTGCCCTCTGGGGTCTCGCCTGGACCCCTGTCTCCTGGGGTGTCCCCGCTCCGATCTGCAGCCCCGGTGACCCCGCCCCCGCTGTCCCCAAGGTGTTCCACGTGTCCATACCGTCTGCGTCACAATGACCTGGCCACAGGTGCGAGCCTCCTCGGGGTTCCCGATGGCGTCGTGTGGGGTGCCCGCGGCTTGCCTCCGCTTTGCGGGAGGACCAGAAGCGTCAGGACCTCAGAGCCGAGAAGAGCGACAGAGGCCTGTACCTGGACGTCAGGTTTGACCTTAAAGGAGAAAGGCTGTACTTTAAAAAGAACTGTGTGCGTGGGTAGACATGTTCCTGTTCATACATCCTACATCTCTATTGTTGCTGACACTTACTGCAGTCTCGCTTTTATCCTTTGTCACCAGGAAAGGTCCAAACACTTGTTCCCTTGTTTGTGCTGAAATGAGATCCCAATGGCCATCCCCGGTTGTATTATACATATCTGCAAATAAATCCACTGAACTGTCACTACTTGAAACAATTAGCAGGGGGAAACAAAAGGTAGTTACTGAGTAATGACACCCACGGCTAACATGGATGGAGCGCACGGACATATTTCGCATACTTCACATGTGCCCCTTTCAGCAACCCAGTATTGTAGGCAAGTGACTTTCCCTGTTTCGCAGATGAGGACGCCGTCAGAGTGTCAAACGAGATTCCCAAGCGGGGGTTTCAACCAGGAACTGTGTGAACCAGGAGGAAACACTTCATCTCATTATTTATTTTTAACAGAATGAAATGCTGTTTCTAACATCATAGGTCGATAAATAACTGACAATATCGATCGGTTCATTGAAACATGGAGAAGAAATAGATTCCCTCCAAAAACTTTTTTTCTGACTGTAATGTTCTCTTTCCTATCAGCAGTCATTTGCTAGTTACAGGAAAATATATTTGAGACCCCATTTATCAAAGGTTGCTTTTGAAGAAGATATTTGCCCTTGTTACAAGAAAGCCAGTGAAATGTGTGTTCAGAATGTCCCTTCAAAATGCAGATAATTGGAACACAAACATTGCAGAAATGAGAGGGGAAGCTGGTTTATATAACTGCTTAGGTTTCTTTTTGCCCTTCTAAAGGCTAAGGCGGAAAACTTGGCCACCAGTCTAATAACTAGTCACACAGCTAAATACCACTTCAAAGACAGTGTGAACGATATGGGACTTAAGCTCTATCTAGTCAGCAGGACAACACAATGTCCTGGGCTGTCGGAGAATTTAAGAGAAATTTTCACAACTTTTTGTTATTATTAATCTTCTCCTAACCCTTAGGATAATATTTGAGGAAGGAAACGAACTCCTGCTTTTCTACATCATCACGATGAGTGCGTCTCCTTCCATTTAAGGATGCGCTCCAGCTCCAGCACTTTGGCTGTTTCTGAATATCAGATCGCTTCCGTCCTGCAGAGCAGCCTCCAGGTGTGAGTGAGACTCAGAGACAGCGTCTTAGAAGAGTGACTGCAGTGAAGAGAGCTAAAATGAGAGCAATAAGGTACATTTTCCAGAGTGCAACAGACCGACAAACTTCTCTGTAGGGGAGAAAATCCTTAGGCACTCAATTCAATGACTTTTCTTCAGAACGTCCCAAATCCAAGATATACTAAGAGGACTGCGTGAGTTAAGGGTGGGGTGGGGGCTGCCTCTAAGATCCAGGATAGTAATGGATTCAATAAGACAGGTTTACTTTCTCACACATAAAAGAAATTGGGAGGGAATAGGTTTGGGGCTGGTTTAATCCCTGTGTCATCAGAATGTCACCTTCCGTCTCTCCGTCCACCTTCCTCGGCAAAGCAGTAGCGTTTACTGTTCAGTCCAGGTGAGATGAGAAGCCAAAAGCTCGTACACTGTTGGTAGGAAGGAAAATGGTACAGCCTCTTTGAAAAACAGTTTGGTAGTTACTCAAACCATTAAACCCAGTAGGGCCACAGGACCCTGCGATTCTACCCCTTGTACAAACTGAGGAGAAATGAAAACCTGCGTCCACACACTTGCACATGACTGCCCACAGCAGAATTATTTAAAGTAGAAAATTGAAACAACCCGTCCATCCACCAGTACACAAGTGAATGAACAAAATGTAGCATATAAGCATAATGGAACATTATTTGACCATGAAAAGGAACAAAGTACTGATACCTGCTATAATTTAGATGAATCTTAAAAACACTACACTGAAAGCCAGGTGTGGTGGCGCACACCTGGAATCCCAGCACTCAGGAGGCTGAGGCAGGAGGATTGCTGTGAGTTTGAGACCAGCCTGGGCTACAAAGTGAGCTCAAGGCCAGCCTGAACTGCATAGTGAGACCCTGTCTCAACAAAACCAAACAAAACAACAAAACCGACTGTGCTGAGTGAAACAAGTATATATCCTGAGTTCTGCTCCGTCACAGAAAGATATATATTATTTCATTCATAGGAAAGGCCATGATAGGGAAAGTTAGAGGGACAGAAAGCACAGCCGTGATTATTTAGGGGTACGGGCAGTGTGAGAAAACAGGCAGTAAGAGCTGAAGGATGTGGGGTTTCCTTTCAAGATAATTAAAATGTTCTAAGATTGACCCTTGATGCTTCATGTATCTGATATACGAATGAACCAGTGAATTTTCCATTTTATGATTTCTGGTAAATTGTGTGGTATGTGAGTATTATCTCAGTAAAGCTGTTTAAAGGAATTAACATTTTTTGGTGTTCATAAATAGTTTTATTGGAGCACACACAGAATAAATCCAGTTTCTTCCCTGGGAATAGTACAAGGTAAGGACTACAATAGTACACACACAAGCCCCAAACACAAATTATTATCAGGTTTTTTTTGGTTTTTTTTTTTCCGGTACTGGGAATTGAACTCACGACCTTGGGCTTGCCAGGCAGGTGCTGTGCCGCTGAGCTAAATCCCTAGCCCCTATTATCAGATTTCCGGATATTGTGCAAATTTTATTGACATAAAGAAGTGAAAATGTGAAATCAGGATCAAAAAAACTGTTTCTGGAAGACAGAACTTCTCAGGTCCACGCACTGAATGCATCTGGATGATACCCAAGAAGCTCCCACTGTATAAGTGTTCTGTGAGAAACCTCTAGGCTTATACTGTTAGCCTTCATAAGCATCTCTGTTTTAACAAAGAAGCAAGCAAGCCTCTTAGATAAGCACAAGAAGATAATAATGAATTTTATGGAATTGAATTCAGTAACCAGAGGGGAGTGAAATGAGACTTTGTTTTGAAAAACTGTTATTAATGGAGGGTGCCATTAGAGGTAAAGCAAACAAACCTAGTTCCTCGCCTTAACACCTTGACCCATCCCTCCAACAAAAATCAAGAAAACTAACAGAAAAGTAAAAAACAGTAAGAATTCTGGCACCAAGTCTTCAAATTTCTGCATTAATTCCTTCAAAGAATATTATGAGACATTTTTACATTGTGCTAGTTTTTTGTTTTGTTCTGTTTTTTTTTTGTCGTTTTGAGACAGGGTCTCGCTATGCAGTTCACGCTGGCCTTGAGCTCACTTTGTAGCCCAGGCTGGTCTAGAACTGGCAAGGATCCTCCTGCCTCAGCCTCCTGAGTACTGAGATTACAGGTGTGTGCCCATGCCTGGCCAGTGCTAGTTATTTTGAATGAGCAGTTTACTTACAAATAGTTCAGACTTACAAAAATCAGCTTCTCTTACCTACCTACATATGTATTGTATTCATGTAAAATACACTAATGTGCTATTTATATGTAATACAATATACTTTAGGAAATTGTGGATATTTATTTTTAATGCTTTCAGTGTTCCATACAAGCTCGCCAACATGAACAAGTGAGGTCAAATGCCCCTCTTTGTCTTGGCAAATAAACACTCTGCCACTGAATTCCAGACAGATATACTTATGTCCCCTGTAGCTCTGAAATCTATTAATTTCCTGATTTTTCTTTGGCAGCATTGTATAAATTCATTGTGCCTGGCTCACAGTAGAGGATAAGATAGAGTTTAAGCTATTATTATTATAAATGTATTTAATAAGAGCAAAAATTTAATCATTAATGAGACAAAAGTAACTTTTCCTTCAGAATTCGTGGAAGATTAAAATTAGATAATATATAAGAATAAACTTCAAAAAACATGATGTTTGAAAATTATTAAACTGTCTGATTTACATTGGTTGCTAGAAGTCTAAATAAGGATTAAGTTGCATTTTATTGTCAGAATCAATCATTGCTTCTAAAGAACCCTTAGATTGTGGGGTTCTTTAGAAGCAATCGGATATGCTCGAGAACATAGATGAAGCATCTGAGCCAGTTTTGGATTAATTCCTGTGATTGTTTGTGGTCTCCATGTGGAAAAACACGGCTTTTTGTTACATCCTCTGTACAGCTGGTTCTATCTTTAAGCAAATTTATACCAGCATATGAAAATAGAATAAATGTTTAATTAGTAGCATTAACTTTTGTTAATTAAAATTAACTTCCTTTCCCTTCAAAATCAGGCTACAATAAAGAAGGCTCATTTACAGTGGAAGAAGGGTCATTATTTTCATTGCCACACTGGCTTAGATTGCTGCATAAATAATGCAGCTTCGTACACTCCCAACCACTGGAATTTCTCTGGAATCAGGGAATTTCTGCAAAGAAAATGCTGGTGATAGCTTCGAAACTGTCATTTTATTCACTGCAGATGCAGGGTAATTCTGCTTCCGAATGAAAATTTTGCTGGGACTGGGCTAGCCTTAGCCCCGATTCCACAGCAGTAGCCTGGTCTTGGTAGGCACAAGGCTAATCACGCCTCAAAGAGTCACACTGTGCAGCAAAGAACAGGACTTTAAACATGGAACTCTAGGTCTTTGGGGTCTCTCTTCCCTCTATGCAGGGGCAGTTTTGAAGAATTAATAAGCTCTCATAGTAAGTACAGGGGAAGCATGGGCCAAACACTTGGCTTAATCATGGTGTAAGATACCGAATCAGGACTGCAGTTCCAATTTCTTACTTAGTCTAATGTGCTTTTCCTCCTCTAGTTTTAACCCAGTCTCACACTTGCTTTAGCAGAAACTGTTAATAATTTCCCCAATATTTTTTCTCCCACTATGTAGACTTGTGTGTCAACTGAGCCCATTGTTTGAAGACAGTTAAAGACTAGTTTTTAGCTTCCCTTGTTGTAAACTGTGAACTGGCTTTAGCTAGCAGGATACAACAGTAAGTATCGCATGCAACTTTTAGGTCATACCCTTGAAAGAAAAACGCCTCACCCTTCCTTCCCATTGGGAGAATCACCTTTGGCCATGCAGGTGAGAGCAGTATATTGGGGATGGCATGGAATCTAGATCTCTGATCCACTGAATTGCCATTTCCTGCTGGTCCCCTCTCTGGATTGATTCATGAGAAGGAAGTCATTATGGTTTGTGTCTTAAATATCTGCCCAAAAATGTATCTTTAAGGCTTGGTCCCGAGCTTGTGGCCCTCTTGGGAACTGGTAGAACACTTAGAGTGGGACTAGTGGAAGCAAATTGGGTCAATAGCTGGGTCTTTGATGTGGACCCTGTGACCCTGGTCCCTTCCTCTGCCTTTGTTCTTGTCTGCCATGTTATGAGCAGCTTTGCTCCATCACGTGCTTCCCATGATGCTCTGCTTCCTGACAAACCTGCAAGCAGCAGAGCCAGCGAACCATGAACTGGAACCTCTGAGACGGAGCCAAAATAAATCTCCAAAACCCCTTTCTGGATGTAATGTGCTTCTAGTGAGTGGATTAATGTCAGTGCCCGAAGTCTCCCCGTGCTAACAGTCCAAGACTTTCTGTCTCTGTGAATTACTTATGTTGAATTTTTAATGTGATTCTAATGTGAATAGAGGTGTGTGAAAGGAGGATAAATGTGGGGGATTGTGCCCAGGAGAGGATAAGCAAAAATCAGTATTGCAGGGAGAGTAAGACAGTTACGCCTGATAAAGATTTTTGAATTGCTTGATTAGGCAACTGGTTTTGATGTAAGCTGTGGAAAAAATTGTAGTTGGAATTAAAGCCAATCAAAATAGCATGTAATTAACTTCATACTTAAAGAATTACTCTAAGAAATGGGCTCTGGCTTTTGGTTTCTATTACTTTATGTATTATAGCCCCCATCCTACCATGCCCAGCACACACACACACACACACACACACACACACACAAACACACACCCAGACTCAATTCTTAGCATAAAACAGAAACAAAAGTAAGTACTTAAAATATTTATTTTGTGATAATCCATGTCAACTTAGTTTTGATTAAGATATACAATCCTTGGTAGAGAGAAGTTTTAAAATTCCAGGTAAGAAATAAGATTAAGAAAGTGATGGAGGCCTGGGGATGTAGCTCAGTGGTAGAGTGCTTGCCTAGCATGCGCTCAGTCCCCAGTACACCTCCCCACACATACACAAAAGAAAAGTAATGGAATGAACATAGAACAGAAAAACTGACAGAACAGCTAAAAGATGTTATAAAAGAAACTATAATTACAAGAGAAATTGTGGTCAATAAACT